TTGGGGGCTTTTTGTTTCTCACTTGTGTGCAAACTCCCCCACAGATTTTTCTGTGGATCAGCAGTAGGGTTGCCAGATGGTTTAACCAAAAATACCGACTCCCTTCCCCTCTCCCCCCCCCAAAAAACCAACACAGCCATCCGCCATCTTGTCTTCCTGCTGCAGGCCAGACAGTTCCCCTGCAGAACCAGATAAGCACCGGGGATTTTCACCTCCTGGCCAGGGGGCGGGGGTGGGGGAATATAATCAGAAAATACCGGACATTTTAGGTGTTCGGTATTGACCTGGACAGTCTGATATTTTTGTCTCCTGTCCAGTTAAAAAAAAAAATCAGAAAATACCAGACACCTGGTAACCCTAGTCAGCAGCCCTGGACCCAAACCCCGCCCCCCCCGATGTAAAGGATCCCTTGGACTTTGTAAAGAAGTTGCAAATTTTGGTGACTAATACAGAAACTGAAACAAAGTATTTATGCATGTCTTACTTTACATAAGTGCTATTATTTACCAACTATACATATAAGTCACAAACTTTGCAAATATTGTTTTCATTTGTCTAGGTTGGGGATTATTGGCAACTTCAGATTGCAAGGTACAAGAACTTCTGCAACAAGATAAATGTTTAGTTTCCCCCAGGAATCCCACATAGACTGCAAAAGACAACACTGCAAGCTTGCCAACTGATGTGTCAGGCTCCTCCAGCCCCATAAACTAGAATAAATCATCTACAGGCTCCAACATCCACAGCTGAACCTTATAGCAGATTTATAGTTCATTTTACACAATATTTTGGATAAGTTATGGAGATCAGTTGGTCTGGTTAGGATTGCTCACAACACAGACAAAAAAGAAAAATCGATGATCAGATAAGCACTTAGAAGGCAAAAGTGAGGACAGTAGAGATCCGTGAATTCTAAAGACAGATTTCCCTGCAGAGTTTTCCACACATTTTACTGTTCTTTCCATAAAGTAAAAACTTGAGCAAGAAGTCTGTCTTCCCACACTAAAAAGGGGCTTGTTTTGTAACCCGAAGTAGCAAACAGAAGCAGAGCCGTCAACTGGGTTCATGCAATCCTAATGTCTGCCTCAGAGACAGTTCTTCTGCCACTTGTCACTGATGTTTGGTTCCCTTCGTCCCAGCAGCAACTCCTCACTTTCACTCTTGGAATTTTTTTTTTTAAATGTTCCATCTCTTCTACATTGCTGTCCCGGTAAGCACTCTCTAGTCCCGTGATATGACTGTTGAGAGAAGCTATAAATGTGGTCCTTTGATCTAGGCACAGTCAAGCACTGGAGGTACTTTTTACTGTGAGCCCTCTTCCAGCCTGTTTGTTGGAATGTACTATTGCACACACCTCCCTCACTGCTGGCATCAGCAGGCTACCAGGAAACTGAGATTCTAAGAAGGTGGTTGGCATCTTCCACCAAAGAAAGGAAAGTCTCTTTCCACTGCTAAATCACTTGGGAGTCCAGAGGCAGAGGCCTATGTAGCCATGAGATCAAAAGGAAGATAAGGTAAAAGCCATGGTACCAACTTGCCAGAAGAGGCAAGCCACCAGGACAATAACCATCAGAGGGTCATCAATACCCTGAAAACTACCTACTTACATCAGAGATCTCTAGCTCACAACAGAAGTCTTCCTTCCTCTTTCTCTGAACAAAAGGTGAAGTATCATGTACAAATATGCCTGAGTTCATAAGATACAACTTTGCCCAGAACAAATAATGAATCCAAACGACAGATTCCTAGTTTCTACTAGAACTTCTAGCAAGGTAATAAATGAAGAAATTAATAATCTGTCCAAGACTGGGACAAAAAAAACCCCCCAAAAAACCCAACAACAACTGGGGAGAGAGATTCCCTAGACTTTATTCTACCTTTTTTGTGGCTCTCCAAAGAACATGGAAAGCAGATAGTGATTTTAGACCTGAATTCCCTCAACAGGATTTGGTGGAATTCTAGGGTCTCACTCTAGCTCTAAGTCATGGACAACTGAAGGACTTTTCATCTAGTGTGCACATCTCCCCCTTCCAGAATATTCACTGGCTTACAGTAGGGATGTTAAATATTGGTTAATTGAATAGTTGAGTAACCTCATGAATTCTTATCCATTAGTCAACTATTCTATAGTCCCCGGGGCCGGGGTTGGCAGCCACTGTATCAGAGGCAGCAGTGCAGGGTGTCAGGCAGGAGCTGGTCCATGAGGAGAGCCAGTTTAAAAGAAAACAGTTTCCCTTGTGGACTGGCTGCACAGTGCTGCTGCCTCTGAGAAAGAGGCAGTAGCTAAGGTGAGTCTGAGCTCCTGGACCTGGCATGAGCTGAAACTGCAGAGCCACAGCAGGAGTATGTTCTGGACCTGGTGCGAGCCAGAACTGAGCTGGGCTGCTGGCCAGCCTGCTAAAAAATATACTGGCAGGGAGAAAGGAGAGGGCAATGTGTGTAGTGTATAGAATTTTGCTTATCGGTTAATCCAGTGGTCCCTAATGTGGTGCCCGCGGGCACCATGGTGCCTGCCAGGCCGTTTCTGTGCACGCGCCGAGTGATCGGGGCCAGCCCTGCCCCCGGAAGTGCAGCGCATGCGCGGCGCTGGCCCCGGGTGTGCG